TGTTGAGGACTTTGCAAAAAAAAATGTGAACAAGAAAATATTTATCAGATGAATACAAATTCAATAGGCATTGTTCAGATATCCATGACATTCAAACAGAAGAAGTAATAAATTAAAAAATACATAAAAGAAATGCTCATTAGAATTCTGTTGGGAAGATGCGTTTCAAAAAAAAAAAAAAGACAATATTCATAATATGAAATACAATTAGAACTTTTAATGTTCAGGGTAGATAAATCAAATTGAAATAATTTTAATTAAAAATTTTAATTTGAAATATATTTTGTTGTGAAAGAACAAGAAATCGTTTCTTACACTAACAAAATCAATATTTGCATAAAAATTTATATTTGATTTTGAAACCAAATAAAACTATATTTAGCCACTAGAAAGCTGAATGGCTACGGCAGTTTTAGGCACTAGGCCTCTTTAGATGAAATCCGTTGCAGGATCCGTTACCACAGCCTGTCAGCCCAGCTGGTGCGCACGATGGGAGTATAATCAATCTTAGATCAAGTTCGGAGATAGGCAATACCGGACATTTCATACGATGTACCCCACTCAATAGCAGAATTAGTAATAGGTGACCCAACTAGAATTTTTAATATTTCAATATAGAGAAAATATTCGATAAATTTCCCGGTCGTGTCATTTTGCGTTTCGAAGAGCAGAATTGCCCCCTAGATCGTAAGATTTAACACATTTATATGCTTTTATTTGGGCTGTTTTGAAGTCGATGGTTTATGCGAATAATCCGACAACGACTCAAGCCTTAAAAGGGGAAATTAATAACGCAGCATTTATGCACAACGGTCATCGCGTGTGTGCCAGCAAAACCACGATATCTTCCTCCAGACAAACCTCATTCTATCCACTTTACGATTATAGACCGATATATGTGGAATTTGAATGGCGATAGACAAAATCCAACACTTTTTTATGACATAATTTGAAGAAAAAATTGATCATGCTTAGAAAAAAGAGGTTTGCCTATGAGATTTGCGATCTTTCCGCTGGTGCCAATAGCTGAGATGCTAATTATACCCTACACCTCATAGTAGTAAGGGAATTATGTGTGTGCAATTGTTTGTAACAGGGAGAAAGAAGCGAGTTAGACCTATATTTACTTTTGAGGATTTTCATAGAATCATATGCATGTCAGTCCGTCCGTCCGTCTATGTATTCTGTGAACCAAATGCAGGTCGTATTTATTATCCGATTGAGATGAAATTTTCTAAACAAGATTTGTTTGGCCCAAGGGCAAACCCTATCGAAATTGGTGACAATCGGTTTAAATTCAGATATAGCTCTTACATTTATTTTCAACCGAATTCAGATTAACTATATATTAGCTATATATAATGACCAATATTAGTCCAAATGACCTGAATTTTGGCACATCCGACTGAATTCAGTGTAGAAGTAAGTATATCAAATCCCATATATATGTTTCATCCGATTTGTGGGGTTTAAGTCAGTCACATCCATAATATGCACTCCATAACTTGGTTCAGATTTTTATATATAGCTTCGATATATATATCTTCATCGGTTTTGACGGTTATTTTTTTCACCATAAATGTATTATCAGACCTAATTGAATAGTTTTTTTTTTCATATTCAACGAATTTTACCATTTGGTGATACTGGGTTCGGTATATCTATTGCTACAATAAATACTTTTTAATGTTATCCTTATCGAAATCATATCATGCACTATACAGGGTTTCCCATATTCGACGGACCCATGACTCTTTGGGCCCATTCCAATCGACGAGGCTTGTCCGCATTCTTTGCGTCAATTGAATTTTGTACGGGAACAAATGCAAATCAATGCGAATAATCCGTTGTAAAGTGGACCGAGCCATGCCCAACTGCTGAGAACGGCGTTTTTGGGATGTTCTTGGGGACCTCTCAACACTGGCTTGTACGGCAGCGATATTCTCGGCCGATCGCCTTGGTCGACTTTTATATGGCCTCTTCGGATTAGAAAGAGCCTTACCAGTCGAAAATTTTTCGTATAAACGCTTAATGGTGTTCTTAGAAGGCTCACTTCTCACATTTTTTAATGTTTTAAAACCACGTTGAGTTTTTACAATTGGCTTCTTCTGTTGAATGTAAATTTCTACTATTTCGCGTGGCGTGTATTGGTTAATGGTAAAAATCTGCTTGGACTGACGCTTCAAACGCGGTATGTCATTAAGCGATGTGACATCTCTGTCAAAAGTTATGGCGTTGCCAGATGGGCCCGTCGAATATGGACAACCCTGTAAAGCAATGTTATTTGTTATTTATATAGGGTGAGATAAAAAAAACTGCATCAAAGCCAACGCCATAATTTTTAGCTTTAATTTTATCAAATCAAATAAAATTTTAGAATAAGTTAAGTTATGTTATGGTCTGCAAATGGCCAATGAAATAGTCACACGCTGTCCGAATGTTGCTCTCCAGTATTTTGGCACATTCCCGGCGAAACGCTTGAATAAGTCGATCGTCATTTTGGTATTTTTAGTGCCAACCTTCCTTTCCAAAATACTCCAGACACAATAATCCAACGGATTGGTATCCGGAGATTTTGATGGCCATTGTGCGCTGGAAATACAGCGAGGAACCTCATTTTGTAACAATTCTTGAGTGGCACGTGCTGAGTGCGATGGTGCTAAGTCCTCTCGGAATTTCCAAGGTCTGCGGTCAAAATGTTTGCGTGTCCAAGGCTTTAGTACACTCTCCAGATTTTCGAGATAATATTCGGCATTTATTCTGTCGATTGATACGACCGGGGAGCGACCATCGACTTTTAATGCGGCCCACACCATCACCACGTCTGGCGCTTAATTTCAGGTGGCCAACCGAAGGTGCACATTTTCAGCTGACCTCTTTGGCAAGTAAACACGATCATTTTGTTTGTTTACAAACTACTGGCAAACGACTGTTTTATCATCGGAGAAACCCAAATTCGGCAGTTCACTACTTTCGGCCAAGCGAAGCAACTCTTTAGCTCTTTTGAGTCTATTTTCTTTCTGTTGCGGTTTAAGTTCTTGCACTTTTTGGAAATTCAATGGCTTTACCCCAAGCTCATTTTTCAATATTTGCCGAATGGAACATTGCGATATGTTCAGCTAACGAGCCATTTTTCGGCCACTGCGACGCGGGTTTCGATCAAGTCGATTCTTTACTTTTCGAACCCTTTCCGCTGATGTTGCTGTTTTTTTTTTCGTCCACTTCCTTGACGTCGGGCCCGCTACCAATATCAGGATAACGAGCGATGGTATGAGACACAAACGATTTATTCACATTTAAATGCTGGAGTGTTCTGACGATAGCCACTTATGGTTTTCCAACTAATTATAAAGAAATCACGCTTGAATTCCATCACGAATAACTTTTGTTCTGGAAAATTCTCATCAAAATGCTTTTGTACGCTTGTAAACAATGTAATGAGCTGTCGCTGGCAAAATTTTAACAGCTGTCGGACGATTGGCTTAGAAATGACTGATAATGATAATGTGGTATTTTGGGAAGGGATAGAGCTGGAAATTTCAAATAAGCATCGCTGAGAGGGTGCATAATGGATGAACGAAATGTTTTTTTTTTTTTTTTGGTATTTCCGACTATAGGTTTACACCTTCAAGACACATGGCTTTAATTTGGTTCACATGGAACAAAAATAAATAAATTAATTAAAACTGAAATAAATTTAACTGAAATCTCATGAGATGAAAAATATGACAAAAAAAAAAAACAAAATATATTACAGAGAAATATTCACATTTTTAATAGCTTCTTGTTTTGCAGATTTTCTAAATTTTGGATTTTCTGCCAAAAGGTCATTTTGAATTGATGAGAATAATAAAAATCCACCCAGCCGTTCTTGAGTTATAAGCGGTCTAACTCCTTGACATATGATATTGTATATTTTTTGCCATATATGCGATATCTTAGATTTAAGGTCTATTTCACCCGCTAAATAGTATTCGATTACCATTCAAATTGGTAGGCTTCCTTCCAGCTCTAAACTCCAGCCCCACAAAAAATTCCGAGTCGATTGGTCAATAATTGTGACCTCTACATCAACTGCAAAACCATGAAATTTTCGGGTTTTTGATCCATTTCAATATTCTGATTCTAACCCCACCTCCATGCAAAATTTCATTAGGATCGGGCCATAATTGCTACATGTAGCTCAATTACAATTTAACATGGACATGTGGACACACGGATACACACACCTAGATCGAGTCAGCTCGGCGATATAGGAAGATCCATATATATGTCATGGTCAAATATTTCGAGGTGTTACAAACTTTTTGACCCAATCAAACTTAAAATTCTGGGGCGTAACAATGACAAAAAAGGCAATGATGGAAAACCAAAATTGCATTGTATAACTGCAGGAGGCGAGCTCAAGAATAAATGATATTTAGAGACGTCGAAGAAAAGAAATTAACTGTGTGTGCATTTTAGAAATTTGTTTTATTCGACGAAATTTGTATTCCGATCAGAATTAGTTTTAGTGTTAAATGAAAGATGTTAGGTAAAATATGTTTCGAACGCCGTAAAATATGTCTTAGGTTAAACATACAAATATCGCAAACTTCAAACACATGATTGAAAAAACACATATATTTTAAACCAGTTTCTTAAAAAATAATCAAATGAAAATCTTCACATTTAAATTCACACACACAACCACACCACTTTGGAAAAAAATTATGGAAATACTTTATAGATTAAAAAGGCGAAAGTCAAGTGATTTACACTTCAAACCAAATATCCCCTTCAACAAAGTGTGATTGAATGATGGCAATTGTTAATCTGTATGTATGCGAGATTTTTCATTTGAAATTTTCCAAATAAAATTAAATGAATGAATGATAGCTGCAACGACAAAAAATGTAACAAGCTTTCACTCTCCATATAAAAATTTGCTTGACATTTTTTATCTTATAATATTTTTAATGGAAATTTTATTTTGTGTTTTTGTTTTTTGTCTCTTGCAGGTCGTGGTAAAATGAAGAAAATGATGGGCATGATGATTATGGGTATGGCTATGAAAATGATGGGCATGATACCCATTGCCATGGGTATGCTGTACATTTTGGCCGGCAAGGCCTTGATTATATCCAAGATTGCCTTGCTGTTGGCAGGCATCATTGGTTTGAAGAAACTGTTGTCGGGAGGTGGCAAGTCAAGCGGCAGTTCTACTTGGTCCTCCGGTGGTGGTGGTGGCGGCGGCTGGTCCTCGGGCGGTGGCGGCAGTGGTGGCTGGGATAGACGTTCCCTAAATGAGGCCCAAGAGTTGGCATATCGTAGCTATACAAAACAATATCAACAGCAACAACAACAGCTGCAGCAGCAACAACAACAGCAAGTCCAGCAACAGCAACCGTTAAAGTCATCATCAAGCGATAAGAAGCTATAAACGGTACCACAGAAAAAAAGAGCAGTAGACCGACCGATCGATGACAACAAAGACACTAACCTAGTGGAGAGCTTGTTCCAAATGAAAAAATTAATTATCTTATAGATAATTTATTATTTTTCGCTCACAAACGCAATGACACTGTGTAATTAAAATGAAATTGTAGTTCACAAATCTTTACTTCTAAATAGTTTAGCGGCACGCTTTAAGCCGAACACGCACACTCACACACATTTTTGGCATCATTCTGAAGTCGTCAGACCTCAATTTCCAATCTACTGAAGATAAATATTTCCCATTACTACTGCTCAAGCTGGCCTCGTCTTGTAACAGTTATTTGTGAAATTAGTTTTCATATCAAATTTCTCTTCATTTTTTTGCCAGACCATAGATTTCCTCCTATTTCTGTATCATCTGTCTATCACTCAACTGCAAATCTACTTTGCTTTTCTATTAAACTCTAACGTTTCTTTTTCTTCGGAACACCAGCAGCTTCAGTTCAACTTTGAACTTTTGGCTATGTTTGCGTGCAACGTCAGTCCCATACCGCCGGTATCAGCATCAAATATATCTTGGCACTCCGCTTTGGCATGTTCTGATTGTGCCACACGCACGCCTTGGCTACATGTTCCTGATGTGGAAGAAAATGTTCACTTTTTCATCTCTGCCATTTCCTCAGTTCACTGTATCATATCAAAACGCTGGTGTCTTCATTCAAACTTTTGTTAACTGTTTCATTCACTTCATCATCTTCGAAGATTTCCAGCAAGCAAGCGGTATAGCTTCCTTATTTTCATTTGCATTCTTATTTTCTTTCTTTCATCTTCAACAGCATCCATCCATTGTATCTTTTAATCCGTTAGTCACATAAGAAATGTTTCAATAATTTAATGTAGTTTTTAAGAGATTTTCAGACAAAGATTATTAACTTATGTATGAGTAAGTGTGTTTGTTTTCCTTTTCTTGTATGATTCTGTGGAAATTCCAAAAGAAAACGCTATTTTTTGTAGAATTTTCTCACTTTCGGCAGCAAGAATATCACACATCACAAACTGTGCTACGTATTTACTTAACTATTTATTATATTTATTTATTGAATGTATTTATTTAATTTAATAATAAATTATTTATAACATGTTTTTTGCGAAAATAAACGTTCAGCATTTAAAGACAAATACATTTTATTTTAATTTGTGGGAGGATAAAGTTTTGGGATCATCAGGATTTTAAAACGATTTAAATTTGAAATCGGAAGGAACTAATATATGGGAGTAATATTTCATATGGATAGTTATCCATTAAATTTTACAGAAATATTTTAGTACTTTATGTGATCTCTCATACCAAATAGCATTACTATATAGATCATATTTTGACCTTGAGAAGGCTTAATATTAAATCCGTGGAAGGAATATATGAAAGTTATAGTTATGTATGAGTCGATTTTGTCAACAATTGACATATTTTGTTCTAGGCGTAACATGATCGTATGATCGGAATTTCGACCAAATAAGACAGATCTAGAACTATTGGTAGTAATATATATACATATAAATAAACTTAAAGGAAGAAATATACATAGTGGTAAGGGTAATATGTCTTTGTGTATTTGTTTGAAACAGGGAAAAAGAAGCTAGATAAACCCATAGTAACTTTTGAGGATCTTCAAAAAATCACTTTCTGAGTCGATTAATGCATGTCAGTCCGACCATGTATTTTTTTTTAATAATGCCAGTCGCATTTATTATCCGATTGAGATGAAATTTTGCAGGCAATGTTTATTTGGCCCAAGGACGAACCCTATATTATTATATACATATATGTGCCATCCGATTTGTGGTTTTAAGTCCCTCACATGCGTTATATGCACTCCACAAGAATGATGTTTGGTACCGCACATCAGATACTGCTCAAAAATACCTCTGTCAAATTTTATCGAGATCGGTTCTGATTAGGATATATCTCCCATAGATATCTTTATCCGATATCAGGTTTATTGTTCATCAAATGCCCAATATCGACCCAAATGGACTCAATTTTGGCAATTACAACTGAATTCATCCTAAAAACAAGTACTTCAAATTTGGTATAAATCTGTTCAGATATAGCTAAAGCTACCATATATACAAATGTTTATCCTCACAAATTTTGTCAAGATCGGTTTAGATTTGGATATAGCTCCCACATATATGTTCAACCGATTTCGGCTTAATTTTGCACTAAATAGCCAACCAGAATATTTGCATATTCGACCAAATTTGGTCTAGAAGCAAGCACATTAAATTTGACGAAAATCGATTCAGATATAGCTATAGCACCTATATATATGTTTCATCCGATTTGGTATTTAGGTCTCTCACATTCGTAATATACACTCGAAAAAGTGGTATTTGGTACAGATATCAGATACAGCCCAGAAATACCTCTGCCAAATTTTGTCAAGATCGGTTTAGATATAGATATAGCTCCCATATATATCTTCAACCTATCAACCGTGCACCAAATATCAGTCCAAATTACCTGAATTTTGGCACATCCAACCGAATTCAGTCTGGAAGCAGGTACATCAAATTTTGGGAAAATCGACAATAGCTTTCACATAATCAGCTATAGTTCCCATATATATGTTTCATCCGATTTGGTTTTTAATTCCTCACATTCGCAACATGCATTCGACAACCAATATTTGGTATCAGATATAGGCGGATGGGTATGCATTAAAACACCTCAGAACCAGCAGATCACAAAAAGGAACTACGGGACTTTATTAGTTTCATTCGCTTGTTACAAACAAACTCCCCAACACAGTCTATAGTATCCATTACGAAAGTCAAATACGACATCTCAAACAATTTCGGTGGGTATTGTACCTGCCGAATATAGAGAGGTACTGATATATGGGGTCTATGCGAAGACCTATACCTGCATACTGATATATGGGGTCTATGCGAAGACCTATACCTGCATAGACAATTTTCTGTTACAGACTGTAGTTCCCATTACGAACTCTAAATACGTAATTTGAAACAATTCTGGTGAATAATGTCGCTTAAATCATCAAAATACCGAATATCGGGAGGTACCGTTATATGGGGGCCATACGAAGACGTGGACCTGCACAGACCATTTTCTGTCTCAGGCTGTAGTATCCATTTCGAACTTCAAGTACCAAATTTGAAATAATTGCGATGAATAATGTCGCTAAAATCATCAAAATACCAAATATCTTGGGGTACCGTTGTATCTCAATTCGTTCGAAAGATAGCGTGATTAGAACAGAAAGACAGACGGACATGGCTAAATCGACTTAGAATTTTACGCTGATCAAAAATATATATACTTTGTTGGGTCTGACATGAGTATTTCGAGGAGTTACAAACGGAATGACAAAGTTAATGTACCCTCCATAGTATGGTGGAGGGTATACAAAGGTTAAAATTCGGACGGACAGAAATTCAATACCCTCCACTGTAAAATAAGAAAAACCTTCAAAATGAATGCATAGGGATAAGGATTTTATATTCGAACGAATTACCAATTTTACCGGTGAAATTTCTTGGAGTTTCCAATAAAATTCATCGAAATACAAAATCATCATAATACAAAATATTCTATTCAATTGTACCTAGGATCCGTTTGGCATGTCTGCACACAATCTTGCAAAACTTGGAATAATCATTCTGATAAATAAGCCAAGGTTTGTAGGTCAAATTTTGTTCATATACATGTTGTGTCCGAATATTTTATGCGATTGAGAATTATTTTTCTACAAACCCGACATAGCGAAACCTTCCGATTTTCGTTTTTTAAACATTTTAGTAATATTTTCCAACGAAGTTGTTTGAAATTTTGTATTTATAGTTTGTAACTCATATACCGGATATACGTTATTTTTTTAAGCTCTTAAGAAAAAGGTATTAAGCTCCATATGTGCTTACAGCCCCCACATAAAAATTCCTCCGGATATTCCGTATTTTGTTACCCACATTTGGATCCAAAGGCCGTCTGTTTATATGCATGACTGGCTGGTGCGCACGATTGCTCCCGAAGGAAACGTCTGATTTCGTCCAAACTTGGTTCATAGTAATATTGTTATTAACCTTAGATCGAGTTCGGAGATGGGCAATATCAGTACACTCCTTCTGGTACCTCCCACACAATTTGTCAACAATTTGAATAACCATGACGCTCATAAAATGCGAAATGAACATCCAATATTGTTCAAACTTGACACAACCTAATATTTCTACAAACAGAAGATCTAGTGAGGGGATGGGATATATTGGTGCACATCTCCGACACAAATGTAAAGAAATTGAATATTATAGCTCTCATAACATGCGAACAAAGTCAATGATTTTCTTAAAAATTTGTTCATCACAATAATTTCACCAACAAGTTATCTGATGTGAATATATATGTGAAATTTATCTGCCTATTCCGTCTGATATCAATGGGCCATTTTTTGAATTATTATAATCTCTATACATGTGAAAAATCAAGGATTTTCTTCAAACATCTTGTATCTTAATATTTCTATCAACAACAGATCTAATTTAAATATAGGATGTATCTCGACTTAGGTCATACAGGGTGGATGAAAAAACTGCAACCAACTTCAGACTCCTGTCAAATCCAAGCCACTCGTCCACCAGCTGTTAAAATTATTCCAGTGGCAGCTCATTGTATTATTTACAAGCTTACAAAACCATTTTGGTGAGTTTTGGGTTTTCCTGAAAAAAAGTTATTCGTAATGGAATCCAAGCTTGATAGTGAAATTTCTTTACACTTGGCTGGAAAACCACAAGTGGCTATCGTTAGAGCACTCCAGTATTTAAATGTGAATAAATCTTTTGTGTCTCTCGTACCATCGCTTGTTACCGTGATCCTGGTAACGGTGTCCGTCGCCACGGAAGTGGACGGAAGAAAACAGCAACATCAGCAGAAATGGTTCAAAAAGTAAAGAAGCGACTTGATCGAAACTCGCGTCGCAGTGGCCGAAAAATGGCTCGTAGGCTGAACATATCACCATATTCCATTCGGCAAATATTGAAAAATGAACTCGGGGTAAAGCCGTTTAAATTCCAAAAATTGGAAGAACTTACACCGCCACAGAGATAAAATAGACTCAAAACAGCTAAAGAGTTGCTTCGCTTGGCCAAAAGTGGTGAACTGTCAAATTTGGTTTTCTCCGATCATCGTGTTTATTTGCCAAAGAAGTCAGCTGAAAATGTGCACCTTCGGTTGGCCACCAGAACTCAAGCGCCGGCCATGGTGATGGTGTGGGCGGCATAACAGCCGATGGTCGCTCTTCATATTAATCGACTGTGGCGTCAGAATAAATGCCGAATATTATCGCGAAAATATTCTGGAGGGTGTATTAAAGCCTTGTGCACGCAAACATTTTGGCCGAAGACCTTGGATATTCCGAAGGGAATGATATTCGAAGGGAATGAACCAACATACCGCAGAGCAACATTTGGGCAGCGTGTGACGATTTCATTGGCCGTTTGAAGGCCATAATTCGTGCCAAAGGTAACCAAACTTATTCTTACATTTGATGCTATTTTCGACATTTTTTGCTTTCATTCAATAAAATTTAAGAAAAAAATTATGGCGTTTGACTTTGTCTCATTTTTTTATCTCACCCTATAGAACTTCTTATAAATGCTGCATATAGATTCCTGATGTGTTTTGCTTATAATTTCCACGTCAATAATTGCTAAAATGTGAATTTGACAAACGACTGCCATGTGCATTATCATACCGTTCATTTTATAAATGCTGTTCAGATGGTTTTGTTAGGACATGACCCTTATACATCCATAATATATTTAGCTTTATGTACATTGAATGCATAATTGTATAATGAATATTTATTAAGAATAATGAAGTAAACTGAAGAATAAAAGAACAATGGCCATCTCATTGTATCCTTCATCATTTCTTATTTCTAAGAACAAAGAAAATTATTCCAATTCCTGGAATTGCAGCAAGCAAGAAAGAAAAAAGGACTACTCTTTTGAGTATGATATGGGGAACCCACATACATTTATAGATTATTTTTCTAGTGCAAATATGAACAAAAATCTAAAAAAACGCTTCAAGTTCAATGTTTGTATCTGTTGAAACGCCAATCACATCTAACCTCATGTGGCAGCCAAGCAAG